AGCCAGGGAAGCCCTGGACCCAGCGGCTGGTCTTAATTTTGCCCTTCCATGCCCACAGCCCATGCCCAGCAGGTATGACACTGCACTAGCACCCACTTCCCAGACTTACAGTACCAGGCTCAGCCTGAAGCCACCTGCCTGCCTGCTCCCTCTCTGGAATCCTGGTTCCCTTGCCGACTGCTCTGTGATTTGGATTTTTCTCCTATTAACAGTGCCAGGAACTGAAATGGCCTGATATAAAGACAACATATGAACAGAATTTTAAAGCCAGTACAAACATATGAATTGTTTGGACAGCACCGGAGAAGAACCAGATAAACTGAAAACTGCCATATGTCTTTTTTTTTTTTTTTTATTTATGGGAGGGTGTCCTTCCCTTAACTGGAAAGTCAGCATCCTGAAGACCCTGCCCATGAGGGGCCCCACCCAAGGGAGACAGGCAGGCCCAGGTGTGGGTCTCTCTTAGTACCGACGAAGCAACATGAGTCATCAACCCCTTGGACCTTGAACAAGCACGCTGGGCCCCGGAAGTGGCTCTTCCTGATGTACCCACATGGGCAGAGCAAGTGACTCACCCTGGCTGCCCTACCGGGAGAAGCAGGCATCTGGGGCTACAATGCTTGTGCAACCCACCCTTTGGTCTCCAGAACAGAATTGGAATGGAGCTGGAGTGAGCCACAAAGCCCCCCCAGGACATGTTCTAAGGCATCCACACTGTGGCCGATCCAGCCACAGAGGTACCAGGTCTAACCCTTCAAAGCTCTGACACACCTCCACTCTCTAGAGTAAAAAAAAAAAAAAAAAAAATCTCTATTTGAAATCTTTTGGGCCCTCAACTGGGGGACGGACACTAAGGAGAGCTACCCAGAGGCCTCCTCCAACCTGGCTACCGGTCAATCTTACTGAAGCTCACAACACAGCCTGCTCCCTGCATGCAGTACTCTGAGTCCCAAGAATACAACAATCTTGGCCTGGAGAACAAGGTAAGATGCAAACAGGACGCTGGGAGGGAGAAGTCTACCCTGCACGGTCCACACTTTTCTAACACCTACCTTCAAGGTACACCTGCTGTTACATAGCAGTCCTGCTTGCATGAAGCATGCATGCAAAGCACTGACTCTCAGAAAGGCTACACACCTACCTGTAACCAAACTACCTCCTGAGCAACCAACACACTCCTCAACCTGGCCCCTAGTCCCAGGACCACCAGAGACAATCCACAGACATTGCGGGTGAGTGTCTTTTTAGACACAGATTTTCCTCGCCTGACTGTCATCATCACATGCTGGATTTCTCTGTGGAACCCTGGCCCAAAGGAACCCTAAGCCACATGCCCTGCCAAAGGATGCTAACAGACACATGAAAGTTGGGGGACTACAAACCATGAGCTGGTGTGTGTGCTATGGAGTCCTAAGCTGAGCAAGCGTCCTCATTATCCTCACCAGCAGGAGGCACTTGAGGGTTCACAAAGCAAGGGCTACAGCTGGCCCTGTCCCCATCTCAGAGAATTGTCTAAATACTGCCCAAACCTCAAACACATCAGGATGGCAAGTCCCAATGGTAGGTTAGAGAGCCAAGAAGCCTAGCTCTGACACTCGCCTGGCCACAGAGAACTCTGACCTTGACCCAAAACTGCTTTCTGAGGCTGCAGGCTTACCCCAATATGTGAGCCTGAGATGTGCAATGTCAATGAATACTGTGTTCACAGTCTATGGCCTCTGTAACAAAGGAAGCACCATGGCGGATGATAACTAAAAACAACACAGAACCCTACACGGCGTGGGTCAGCCTCTTCTTCCTTCCCAAGATGGAAGACTAGACACTGGCCTGTCCGCTCCAGTTCCAGGAACTGTCACACTCTGGCTCCCAGCCACATCACTGACTGGCCTGCACTGCACCGCCTCATCTCCTCTCTGGCTCTCCTTCGTCCTCTTATCAGGACCTTTGTGACTGCCCTGGGTCCACCCAGCTAATCCAGGGCAATTTGCCTGCCTCGGGATCTCCCTCCCCTGTGATGACACTGTGCCCTCTGACCATGCGGGCCTGGCCAACTCTGCCTGGCACCTTGTCCTATCAGCTATAGTGCCAAGGCTTCATTCAGCAGCTTTACCACTATGACACTCAGACACTCCCTTGAAGTATCCAGGGTGGAGAAGGGAGAGGAAAACCTGCCCAGGGATTCAAAGATGGCCAAAGGAAGAGGAAAACGACACCCCCATTCATAGGGTACCCACAGGGTCAATGAGCATTGACCACAGCTCCCTGATGAGAACAGCAGGCCTGGGAAGGGGTGAGGTGGGGTCCTGGACCCTGGAGACCTAAGAACCCAGGCCTCAGACCTTGGCTGTGAACTGGGGAGAAAGTTGACAATCCTGACCCCAGGTTCATATTGAGGTCAAGGAAAGATGCCCAGGCCATCCACACCCAACTCCTGGCTGTGAGGCAGGTCCCACCCTGGACTCTGCCAAGCTGTGAGCAGTAACAGATTCTCCAAGTGTGGAGCCAGTTAAAACCTAAAACTGGGCCAGCACCCAGACATACCAGGCCCTGACAGGGGCCAGTCAGGCTCCCCATTTACAAGCCTGGGAGTGTAGTAACCTGGCCCCAGTCCCCATTCCAAATACACTAAAAGGCAGCAACTTCATCAGATGCCTAAAACCCTCCAGTTCCAGGGGACTCTGAAGGCCTGGACATGACCCAAACTCCCATTCATATGGTACCCACAGGGTCAATGAGCATTGACCAGAGCTCCCTGATACGCCAGGCCAACACCTGCGGTACCTGGGCTGTCTCGTTCCCACTCAGCCTGCTCCCTGAATCCAGATGAGAGAAGGGATGGGGAGGGGTAAAGCTGGAGTTGCCTGCCTGTGAGTGCCCGCACTGGTCACGCAATGCTTAGCTAACTCCCATAGCCTCCCTGCTGCATGGGACTGACACACACTCAGGTGACAAATTCAGTCATCAACACCCTTGCCCAAGGCTGAGAGCAAGCAAAGAGCAAAGCCATGGTCTAAATTCAGGACTGTTTCTCAGCAAGGGCCTCCTTAATCCACAACCAGGTACTGTGGTCTATATGGGGTCATGGACCTGGCTGCTATTTGGAGACCTCAGGGATATTTGAGAGAAGTGTTCTGAACAGAGCTGCCTCTGGTCTCTCAGCCCACCCCTACCCCAAGCCTGCTAAAATCCTGTCTTGGAGTCTTGATCCACAAGGAGCAGAGTTCTCTACACCTGAGAAACAGCCTTGACTAAAAGTCAAGGGCACAGAAGACACTCCCTAAGGTGTGACTGGTCTCAAACACCCAGGAGTATACAGCCTGGACAGGCCCGGTGGCACTGAAGGTCCAGAATTAGGACAGACCTGGGTCCTCTTGGTGATCCCTTAGCACAGGGCTTCTGGAACCATCTAAGAAAAGAAACTTTTGCTAGGTGGCAGTGGCACACGCCTTTAATCCCAGCACTCGGAAAACAGAAACAGGCAGATCTCTGTGAGCTCGAGACCAGCCTGGTCTACTGAGGGAGTCCCAGGACAAGCTCCAAAGCTACAAAGGGAAAGAAAAAAAGGAACCTTCTAAGACAAAAAAAAAAAAGGGATGAGAAAGCAGATGTCTACAAAGCCATAAAAGAGATGGTTGGCTCTCAGAGCAAAAGTGAGTGCCCCATGCAGAGAGGAATCCAAGCAGGCTCTAGATGCCTAAAATCAGGAGAGGAGACCAATGCATAGAAAAGATGACAGAATAAAAACCTCCAAAGGCTTCTGCATCTGCAGCATCACAGGACTATGGCACAGGTGGGAAGGCCTCTGGGAGAGGCGAAAGTGAGGCTGGGGCCTCAGAAGACCCACTGCCCAGAGTCTCTTAGCTCCCAGCAGGCAGGCACATGCCCCCCACCTCCTTCCTTCCCAGTGTTCATGCCCTGCCAGGCTCTGCAGCTGGGAGTCATGGCAACAGGCCCAAACATCTGCAATAATCCCTCAGAGCCCCACACAGGGGTCACAGCAGCCAACACACCAATGCCAAGAGTCAGGGCCCTGTGCAGAAGAAATGACAAAAACAGGAATATCTGCCTCCAACGAGAAGAGAAGAAAGGAGAGGGAGAAATGCCTGCCAGGCATGGGGAGCAGTATATGCAAAAGGCTCCCTGGGCTCTCCAGGAAGGCTCCCCGATGCCCCATGTGCCCACCCTCCCGCCAGTGACCTTCTACTCTAGAAACATGACTCACCTCAACATCCTGCCCCGTCATGCTTCCACGAAGCTTCTCTTATGACCTGGCACTGAGGCCCCTACCAGATGTCACCTCCCCACCCACAGTCCACACCCTGTCTGCTGTGCCCTACCCACAGGCTGATTCCCACACACACTGACCACCTGCCTATATTTTACCCCAACGCCAGATACACCCTTCTTCTATAATTTACCGCCAAATCCTCTCCCAGGAAGGACAACTCAAAGGGTATAGGAGTGGGGACCCTTGAACTCAAGAGATTGGCCTGCCTCTGCCTCCCAAGTGCTAGGATTAAAGGTGTGTGTCACCACCTCCTGGCTCATCTATTCCCTTTTTGCCTGCTTCTGAAGACTGACTAGTCAGTTTCACCAATGGAGCATAGCAGTGAAAACAGCGGGAAAGATTCCTGAGCTCAAGGAGGGTAAAAACGCAAGCCCTACAGGGTAGGACCATGAGAGACTGGAGCGGGGCTGCACCAGGTTCCAAAACTAGGAGGTCCCAGTGGTGGAGGGTGAAGGAAAGAGCTTGCAAGGCCCTGAGGTAGGAAAGAGCTGGTGTTAACAGAGTCTGAACATAAAAAATAAAAAATAAATGAAAAAAAAATCCCCAGGGGCTGGGCCACCATAGGGAAGGACAGAAGTAACAATTTGAGACCTCAGGGGCCAGTCCTTTTATTGCTTAGACTGAGTGAATCCAGGAATTTGCCTTATGGCTTAAACTCATTTGACCTGGGCTTGCTATCACTTGCTGCTCTGTGTCCAAACTGAAAAGTTACCTGCCATCAACTGTTCCACCAACCTGCTTCCTGGAGACGACAGACACCAGCCTCCAACCTGGAGCCACGCCAGCGTCCAGTCTCATTCTCCTACCTCTGTCTCTCATCTCTGTCTCTGCAAAAAAAAGACTCACTGTGGTGTTCTGGCAGCCCAGAACTGGAAGAGAAGGCAGGTGCCACTCAGCTGAGGGATAGAGGATCCCAAGAGCACTGGTTGGCTGATTGCACATAATTAGGAAGGAAAAAAATGCTCTTGAAAATTAGCTTCCCAAATGCAGATATAATTGCAAGTGTCCTTGCAGAGTGATTACAGCGTCGGCCCAACAAATGTTTTACCAGCAGCCCAAGCCCCACCCTGCAGGCAGAAAGAATGGAGCCAACGAAGGCGCCAGGGCCAGGCGGCACCCAGACCAGTGCTTCCAGGGGCCCAGGGAAAGCACCAGCTTGAGGAGAGGCACACGTCCAGCTCAGGGCCTTCCCTTCTTCCTCCCATTCCCATCCTCACAGGCTTAAACATCACCAGCAGCCAGACCAATAAGGTGTTGGCCAGACTCACCAATACCTGCTTCCTACAGCCAGGTTGTGCTCTACGCCTCAGTCTCTCAATCTGAAAATGGGTATGCTAGCAGTAGCTAGCTCAAGACGATGATGGAGGCTGAATGAGGACCGACACACAAGGACCAACCACTCAGGGCCACAGCCCCTCTCACTCTGCTTCCACAACAGCAGTCACCCATCCTCAAATGCAGATGAAGTTCAGGAAGGCTAAGCAGCCATTAGCTCAGGTGAGCAACATGGATGCAGCCACCAAATCCAAATCCATGCTGTCATCACATTGAGTCATTGTTGGATTCTGAAGGATAGGAAAATGCTACTCTGGGTTGTTAGACCACAGGTCTGGGCCTGTGGATGTGACATGTGGGAACACTCTGTAGGAAGTATGAGGACACTCTGCAGCTCTCATGAATTTCTAGGACTGAAGGGGGCCTGCCTGGACCATACCCCTGAATACTAGAGCACTCCTAGTAACCTCAGTCCATCTCAGCAGCCACCTTAACATCTAGCCTTCACTGCCTGAGCGACTGAAGTGTGGCTCACATCCCAGCCTTGCTGTCTCCTCAGCTGTCCTCCAGTGGCAACAGGCTTTCCAAGCCTTCAGCGCTGTCCTCGGAACAAAGCCCCAGACTCATGAGGACCACAACCATGGTGGATTAGACACTGCACACCAGGCTCACTCCAACACTTGTCCCCAAAGTCAAGCTCCATGTAGACTCCAGATACTCCTGCCAGTCTACCTTCCTCGCATGGGGTGGGATGGGAGTTAGGGTCCAACAGAGAAGTCACCCAACTCCTCTGAGAAGTCTTTCTTTTCTCAACTATGTAGGGTAGGGCTACTCTACCTGAGGACCGTCTCCTGGGGGAGGGGAGCAAGTTACGATCTGGGATGGTCCAGCAACTGTGGAAGAAGGAAAGAAAACCAACCGTAAACTACATCCCTATCGTCTCCTGCCTGGAAACTAACATGGGTCAGCTAGGGAGTCTGGGGCAGCTGCAAGGCCAGCCTGTGAAGGCTACAGCTAACCCAGACAGGCTATCCAGAAGACATAGCTCCCAAGATGGGCTTATCCAGAGATATTTCAACTGTCCTCATACTGGACCTGAGATGCAAGCACCCCCATCAGGGCAGTCAGGTTCCAAGCCAGGAAGCCACCTTCAGACTCCATGCTCTTTGTCAAATGTTATGTGAAATCCACACCTGCCATTCAGGAAGGGGACTCAATGGTGCACTAGTATCTTGTGAGCAAGGCAGTTAAGTTTGGGGGCTTTCTTTATGCCTATCATCTCCACTGATACCACTGTTGCACATTAAGAAGGTGTAGCCGGGCAGTGGTGGTGCACACCTTAAATCCCAGAACTTGAGGAGCAGAGGCGAGTAGATATCTGTGAGTTCAAGGCCAGCCTGGTCTATAGAGAGAGGTCCAGGACAGCCAGAGTTACACAGAGAGACCCTGTCTCAAAAAACAAAACAAACAAACCAACAACAACAACAAAAGAGTGGCCTCCATAGGCTCATATATTTGAATGCTTAGCCACCAGGGAGTGGGCGGATTTTTGAAAGGATTAGAATTTGTGGCCTTGTTAGACGAAGGTTGTCCCTGGGTATAAGGTCTTAAATGCCTATGCCAGGCTCAGCGTCACTTCTTCCCACTGCCTGTAGATCAGGGTAGAGAACTCATAGTTAACTTCTTTCTCCAGAACCATGTCCGCCTGCCATGGCCTGCCATGCTCTCTCTCTAGCCTGATAATAATGCACTCAGCCTCTGAAACTATAAGCAAGCCCACAATTAAATGCTTTCTTTTTAAGAGTTGCTGTGGTCGTGGTGTCTCTTCACAACAATAAAGCATTGACTAAGACATAAGTTAGTACCAGGAGTGTGGTACCGCACTTGCGTGCATGCACACACACACACTACAAGTCACCATAAATTCTTTGAGAATTTTCTTTGTTGTATTTTGGTCATACTCATGGCCCTCCCCCAACGCCTCGCAGATCTGTCCCATTCCAAACCCATCCAATTATATTCAGCTAGTCCTGGCTATGTATTCTTAGATACATGGCCATTCACTGAAGTATGTTTGACCTGGCAAGTATAACACCCTTAAAGAAAACTAACTCTCCTTCTTCCCACAGCTATCAATTACAGCCCCTCAGCGGGGGTGGGACTTCACGACCACAAGCTAATCCCAATACTATTCAAATTGTTCAACAAAATAGAAAGGGAAGGAATACTACAAAGCTCGGTTATGGAGTCACCACGACTCTGATACCAGAACCAGGTAAAGACACAATAAAAATAGAAAACTATAGATTAATTAACATCCCTGAGGAATACATATGCAAAAATCCTCAATAAACCTTTTGAAAATCATATTCAAGAGAATATTAATGCCTGGCATTGTGGCACCGGCCTATAATTCTAGCACTCAGGAGGCAGAGGCAGGAGGATCACCATGAGTTCAAGGCCAGTCTGAACACATAGTGAAATCCTGTCTCAGAAAGATAGATTTAAGGACATAAATCACATGGTCATCTCAACAGACCCAGAGAAGACTTTGGCAAAGTTCAGTATCTGATGAAAGCCCATAAGAAGCTAGAACCAGAAAAGGCCCGATCTTAGCCTCAGAAAGGTAAGTTGACAACACTATAGTCACCTTTGAGCTAGTGGGGAAAACCTCAAAGTATTCCCATTTACCCTCTCTACCCCCTTGCATCAAGGCTATTCGGCATACCACCCACAAACAAATGGATATAAAGAAGAAAGAAGTCAAAGAACCACTGTTTGTGGACGACGTGACCCTGGCTTAAAAGATCCTGATAATTCCACCAAAAAGTTCATATGTCTGACACATATTTCATCAAAGTAACAGGGTAAACATCCAACATAGAGGAAATCAGTAGCTTTCCAACATACCAAGAGTGAACTTGCCAAGAAAGACACCGGTGTGTGTGTGGGGGGGGGGGGGATCCCATTCACAACAGCTTCACGAAAATTGCAATATTTAGGACTAAGTTCCTAAGAGACGTCTTGGTCATGGTGTCTCTTCACAGAAGGGCTTTTTCTGGAGATGTGGGAACAGGCTGGGGCAGCTCAATGATGTGCCACAATCCACAACTTTGTGTTAGTGTAGACCTAGGTCCCTCCTGTTCCGAAGCCAACACCAATGTCTTTTGTAGAAAGAAGATCTAGAACTGAAGCCCAGGCTGCTTTGAGAGCAGAGCAGTCCTGTGCCTCTACCCATTTAAAGAGAGAGCCCTGTTCCAGGATACCACCACCCACTGACTTTATTTGACATCTACTCTCCAGGTGATAACATGCTCCGGGCCTAGGTGGCTGATGCCATGAGCAGCTTCACAGGGTTAGCCGTTCTGCCCTTCAGGTACACCATGGTCTGAAATCTCCTAAGCACCGGCCCCTGCTAGCCTTTCCAGGGTCCTCCCTCTCACAGGTCCTGTTCCAACGACATCACTTCATCCCCAAACATGAGGCCCAGCTCCCCTGACATATCTCAGGGCTTTTGAACTTATTTGATGCCTGGCATGCCCCATCCCTGCCTTTCTGAAGCTAATTCCTCCTCCTCTGCTCAGAGAGCAGCCAGGATTCTAGTCTTTGGAAAAGCCTCCCTTGACCGCAATGGGGACTGCCCCCAAATTCCCATCTCTGCTGTCTACTTCCTGGCTCAGCTGAAATTCCCCCTTAACACAACCTCACACACTTGTCCTCTGCCCCCACCCACCTCCACAGATTAAAGCTCCAGAAGGCAGATTCCCACCACCTGCAGCTCCAGAGGGATCTCACGAATCTGACCTCCACAGACACCTATATTCATTCATGTGGGTGCACCCACACTCAGAAATAGATACATACATAATTAAAAACAAAATAAATCGATCCCCACCTCAGGACAGGGTTTCTCTGTGTAGCTCTGGCTGTCATGGAACTTTTTCTGTAGACCAGGCTGGCCACAACCTCAGAACTACCCTGTCCCTGCTTCTACTTCTGCTTCCTGAGTGCTGCGATTAAAGGTGACCACTTGGCAATGTTTTTTTTTTTTTTTCAATTAAGTAAGAGGAATCAGAAAAAGAAGACATTTACATTCATAGTAAAGTACGTGTGGTGTTATCTACCCTGGCAAGAAAACTGAAAGAATCCTAAAAAATTCAATAAGATTACAGCACAATAAAGCATAACATAGGCAATAAGTAGATCCATTCCATAGCAACTAGAAATAGTCATTCCCTATTGTACTTTATTCTTTGGGAAGTTTTTTATACTTTCTCACACAAAAAAAATATTTACATATGAAATTAGATGTCAGGGTTTGCTTCAAACATACCAAGTCAATAAAATAAACACAGCCATAAGTTAGCACTTGGGAGATACTGAAGGTGGGAGTGGAAGACAGTGCTGACTTTATTAATCTTTCTGTTGTTTATGCCAGTTTTTTTTTTTTTCTTCTCTGTGGCTTTGGAGGCTGTCCTGCAACTAGCTCTTGTAAACCAGGCTGGTCTAGAACTCACAGAGACCCCCCTGCCTCTGCC